ATCTCGCTCTGCTGAGCTGTCCGTGAAAACACGATATATGTCAGAGTCTATGGGCGCATCTACACATGCTTTTACGCATGCCTAAACTTAACGTGCATTTGCCTAATGTGCATTAAGGCAATTTAGGCACGCATCTACACATGCATGCACTAAGGCGCATTAACACAGTGTGCAGACCGACTTGGGACAAAAGTTAGTCGCAAATCAGTTGACATACACAGTGTTAATGCGCCTTAGCACATCTATATGTTTGTTAAGATGCTTTAGCTATTCGTGCCTACATTTGATACCTACTTTTGCAGATACCAAGTTTAGGTGTGAATAGCCTAAAATTGCCAATTTTTAGATGCATATCGCACCTTAAAAATGGCTAACGCGCTTTAAATCGGCACGTGTAGACATACCTTATGACGGGTATGGTAGTATCATGCAGAGATGCCCCAGCTAGCTCTGGGTAGACTAGCTCCAGAACAGGAAGCAGTAGGGCTATATTAGCTAGGATTAGGGTTAGGCTGCAGACTAATAAACTTTACTTCTCAGCAGATCTAGCTAGCCAGGTCACAGTGCCATGCGGCTATTCTGTTTCTGATTCCAGACCCGGCTCAGGTATCTCAGCACGGTGCCACTTGTGCTGTTTCAGTTTTCAGCAAGATTGCTGCCTTCACGTCTAGGCTCAGAGCCATCACGTGTAGTTGGCGTGGGGGGAGATCATTCACTGTTCATTCGTGCTGGCAAAGCTTCCTACTCAGGAAAGACGTTCACCCCTTTGCCCAAGGCAAGTAGCACAAACTCTTTGCCCTTTCTTAGCCATGGGGTAATATTCTGCAAAGTATATCTCCCCCCAATAGGAATCTCCATAGCCTTGGATGGAGATAAAATGGCCACTGTTTCCCTGCACCAAACATTTTGGGAACTTTCTTTCCCACTGAGGAAAGCAGATGCCAGTTTGTCTTTGAAGCCTCTTACCTGAGAAATTGGGCTTGGGTGCCCATAATGAGATGAAAGACCCGGTTCTGTCTTGATGGGGCGCATTTCCTCGGTGGTGGTGGTGGTGCTGCTGCTGGGGGTGGAGCTTGTGGTGGGGGTAAGACTCTCGTTGCTGGATGGACCTAGGGGAACATGAAATGGTTTGGCTAGGCCTGATCCTGCACGCGCGCGTGCACACGCACATGCACACAGGACTTTCTCGCCTGACACTCACCTGCTGGTGCCTTGGATTTGTTAAGGTTCTTGGGCTTGCGCTTCCTTGTTTGAATCCCCTCTTTTCTCATTGCTAACGGCCTGGGGACCTAGGAACACAGATGCAGAGGTATTTTCAGGATGTGTTTAAAGCCATGGGTTATACTGAGATCCCATCTCTGCCTCACAGGCCCAGCAGATTGAACTAAAAAGCCACAGAGCCCAAAGTCACTGACTGCTTTCGTATGGATCAAGATGGGAGACCAGCTAAAGCTCTTAGATTTGGCTTCAGCCTGGATTTGAATTTTTTGGGACTGAAAGATGTTGGTACTCAAGGCTTTGGCGCCCAGATGTGTATGGCTAAAAGGCACCATCAGATCATCTAGTTTCACCTCCTGTCTTATGCAGGCCAGACTCAGGTTTATGCATATCAGCCAAAAAAGGCATTCAGTTTTACTGTGAAGCCTACCTATTCATCATTAGAAACATGCACCGAATAGGAGTGAGTCTGGTTTAACTTCCAGCCACTGGTTTGTCATATGCCTCTTTGGTTTAGCCCTTTACACAACAAAGCCACCTCCTGCTGCCATGACAGGACTGCAGTCGAGGCAAAGTTTATATCGTACAAGAACCTGCCTCCCGACCGCCTTGTGTCCGCAATGACTTTCTAGTATAGGGGCCAGGCACCAAACCACAGCGTTGATCCATCCTTACCCCATGGAGCTTCATGTATAGCCCGCAGGCGTTACACACGGGTTCGCCCTCTGCGTTTCTGCGCCATAGCGTGGTGGTCGTCGTGTGGCAGTTGGCACAAGAGAGGCCGACGCGGCGTGAGGCTGACTGCAATGCAAAGGCAAGAGCAGCGTGAACAATTCCCTGGTCTTGACACCGGCTATGAGCATTTCAAATCCTGATGAGCGCTCATGTAGCCTAGCAGCTAACCTGTGGGTTTGTAGGTGTTCTTTTGCCATGTAAAAATGGGGGTGTACATGTAAGTGGGTTTGTACCCATTTTACAGACTCACAAGCAGAGGCCGTGTGGGGTAATGTGACTTGCTAAAGCTACCTTGATAGTGGTTGTGAGCCCAGTGGTGCTCCCATGCAGGGATGTGATGTCCCTTATGTTTCTACATAGACTACACACATATGGCTAGGTCCTACCTGTGGGAAGGGGCAGTGAGCATGGAGCAGGCAGGACTGGAACATGGGAGAGAGAAACCAGCCAGCAGAGATGGGCTGACCCTGCTTCCTTGTCTCCAGGAGCACCTCCCCACCCCATGCCCCAGCTGGCTTGCAATGGGCCAAGCAGCGGTTCCTGGCACCGCTGGATGGAGACCCATGGGCTCCTGAGTCAGAGGCTATCCCCCCACTACCCCAATTCAGGCCATCTCAATAAAACCATAAGTCTCCTTTTCTTTGTGAGGAAAACCCCACATCCAGGCTCATGGCCCAATTTCTAGCACGAACCCAAGAGCTATAATTGAAGTCCTCTGGGGCTCACAACCCTACTCATAATTACTGTGGCCATGCTGGACTTTGCAATCCCTATTTTGGGAACCACTGGGATATGGTGAAGGTAGATCTGTAGAGATCAAAAGGCAACAGTTTGCTTTCTACTTAGAGTGAGAATCAAACTACACTCACCGAGCCCGCAACTTGGCCCAGCCAGTTGCATTTGGGTTGATTGTGAGTGCCACAACCTGCGGGGGCTCTGATCCAGATTGGCCTCATTTCGGCCCTGGGAACTTGGCTACCAAATAAAGATCTGGCTCCCAAACCTTTCTCCATGAATCAGAGGTGGGCAGTTGGATTGACCCTTTCCTGGCTATGTGAGTTTTCTCTGTTCATTTTGGAAATAGAGCAGGAACTACCAGGAGCTAATAGCACAATCCCACTGGCACAGAAGCTGATAGCTAAACTCTTTGATGACAACAGTGTTCGCTGGAAGCTTTTCTGATCTGGGACCTCACCTTATGGTCTCAGCCCACTTTTGGCATCGTATAAGCAATACATGATGAACACCATCAAAGCAGATGTTTCCATACAGTTGTGCTTCCCTTGGAAACATTAGTTAAAATCCAGGAAACTTTAGCAAACTCATGTAACCTGCTGATCCCACTTTGGGCCTGTTGCGCAGAGCATGTAAGTCTGCTGAAGACCTGGCAAAGGTGCTTTAGCTCAAGGTGTAGCCATTTGTGCTTTGTTGTAGACCCGCAGATCCCAGGTTGAACCCTGGTGGGTCAGACAAGATGCCAGCCATCATCACAGTGGCAACTCGCAGAGTTATGGGAAGCTGGGAAGCCACTCCAGCTTCACCCTCATCCTTAGTTTTTCCTTCCCAAAGCCCATAAAGCCTTGCATGCCCCACTTTGCTCTGCCTTTAGCTGTCATTTTCCTTCCTGGCCTTCTCTGCCTATTGCCTGGAGCCAACCAGGCAGTTTTTTCCAGTTGTGTTTTCCTTGGAAACATTAGTTAAAAGTCCATCCAGGCAATATGGACGGCTCAAGACCACCCTACAAATGTGATACAGGTGATATGCCCCCTCAGGGGTCTGAAGGATTGTCACCCTGGCTAAATGGGTAAGACAAAGGATGGTTCCTGCAGGCAGGGAAAGGCAAAAGGAAGTCGTTGATGCAAACACCCAGCAATGAAACAGTGCAGGGAACAAGTCTTTTATAGAGTTTCAACCCTGCAGAAAAAGGCAATAGACTGGTGTGACCCAGCACAAAGGCTTACAAATGCAATCAATGTGTAACTGTATAAAATGGTAACCTTGATCCAGAAGAGAGAGAGCAAGAGAGAGGAAGGAGCACCCATCCGAGAACGGACAAGCGTGGAAACTGCGACGAACAGGCCTTGGAAAAAAAGGACCTGAATTGCTTTCAACCTCCCAGAGTCTGTGTGAAGATGAGCGACCTGCTGGCAAGCTGGGCATGGATATAAGTGCTTTAGTGTTTTTAAGGACCAAGTCGTTATAGCAATGAATTATGCTCTGCAAGTAAAATGAAAGCCAGCTTGGCCTTTCCTCCAGCCCTCAGAGGGGAGTTCAAGGTTTGGGAATAAACATCTGTAAGGGTGGAGATTTTTTTTGTTTCCTTACTCCAAATTTTAGCAGAAACATTGCACTCCCTATTGGGTGGAGAGACAGGACTAGCTATCCCAGAAAGGCGATGTGGGTCTTAATTCACTACCTACTTAAGCTTTCAAAAGCCAAGGTCCCCATCATGAAGGTGAGCACAGTCGTTCTTCTGCCTCCCTGACATGCTAGGACCCCTGGCTTCCTTTGCTAGCATTTCTAAGTGTAATGAGAGCCACAGAGAAGATAGGCAACAGAGGCAAGGACCACGGTACTTGTCCACCCATCCCCTAAATCCAGCATCACAGCCACCATGAGGATACGGGCCCTCACTCCACGGCGCTGTCTGGCACACCCCCGGCTGGGGCACTGGAATGGGCTTGGGGCATCTCTGGACTTTTAATGCTGACTGTTGCTCTTCTGAACTCACTTATTTGACGTGAAGTAGGCAGGCCAGCCGTCACCTTAAGCACCAAGTGAAGGCTGAATCTAGAGCTCGGCAGTGCTAAAAGCCCAGGCCTTGAGCTGAAGCCCCACACCTTGGAGCTAGAAGCTATAGCGGGCACACATCCTCCGTGGCCCGCGCAGAGGGACCGTGTCAGCAGGCACAGAGGGGCACCTGGCCCAGGCTCCGGGCTTCCTTTGCCCCCAACTCAAACACATTGCAGAGCTAAGGCAGCACATGGGCACTTGGGGGGCAAAGTAGTTTCCAAACCTAACCAAAAGCAATCTTCACACTCAAATTCCCCTAAGGAGCCAACACTCCCTGCCAATACTCCCCAGCCACCACTCAGCTTTGCTGCACGTCCCCAAAGTCAGCAAATGCAGGCTGTTTTGGACCCGGGGTGGGGGGGAGTCACTTGCTGCCCTGTAATCGGTGACGTACATCATTGCAGGTGTCTGAGCTGCAGCAGTGGCACGATCTATGGATAGGGAACCCGTTTGCAGCAAAGCGTTTATGACTAAATCAGGTTTCCCCCCCAGTCTCAGACCTCAGCATTTAAAGTCTTCTCATTACCGAGTGCCTGAAACCTAGCAAAATGCTGAGCAGCAGCAGGCGACTTTGGAAGGACAAGTGTGGATAGGAGGCGTGAATGGGATAGACTTTGGCCGCCAGAGGGCATCAGGAGATTACAGCCAGCTGGGAGGCATCAGTACCCAGGGCAAGATAAAGCCAAAGCAGCTCCCGGAAGAAATGATGGAAGATGCTGAGGAATGACTGGAAGGGTGAAGCTAAGAGAGGTGTGACATTTGCAGAGGCAGGAGATGGGGCTGGAGGTCTCACATGGGAAATGTCTCCTCCTCCTTGCAAAGACACCTGAAGTCATATAAAGAGAGACTGTTCACCAGCTCCTTGTGGCAAAGCCTTGGGCCTCCAGAGGACTGCAAAGCCACTGCCTCAGCTATGGCTTTGGGAGAACACGGAGCAAAAAAGCCTATGGCCTCACCCAGGCATAAATCGCTCTTCCCTGGAGACAAGTCACGATCACCTCCCCCACAGCACAAAGCGGGACTACAGCCTGTGTGATTGTGATGCTGCAGGGCACCTTTCCAGGAGCGCTCTACCAAGGACAGCGCAGGTGCATGGATACCACGTGGATGGGTATGGCATGAACACGCTCACAGATAGAGGCACCGAGCCTGCCAGCCACAGCCCCTTCTCCAGTCCCCATACATGTATGTCTTGCCCAGCCCCTAAAGCCCCAGGGAGACACCACATTATGCCACTGCCTTTTCCCCATACCCTGTGCCTCTGTCCTGCCTCCTGGCTTCCGGGTATAAAGGGTCACTGGAAGTCACGGAGCCGCTGGAGTATCTGGGAGTTGGGGTTGCCCTAAACTGAAGGAGGCCACTGGTGAGCAGTACATAGCAAGGGGTGGACATCATGTGTACTAAGGGAAGGGTGAGAAGGACCACATCGGAGGTGATAAGGGCTTTGTAGGTATTCATATGCTACGATTTATGAATGTATAACAAGGTCAAAATTTGATTCAGAGCTGTTTGGGTTGGAAGGGACCTCAGTAGGTCATTGAGTCTGACCCCCCGCCCTGGGCAGGAAAGGGCGCTGGGGTCAGATGCCCCCAGCCAAGCATGGATCTACAAAACCAAGGCCAGGCCTGTCCCAGAGCAGTGTGCAGCAGGTAGGCACCTGGGCATCTGTACGGATCCCACAGTCCTTTGCAAGAAATGTTACGGCTCCTTTGTAGGCAATCCAAAGGACCCTGGGATGCACCGGTTACAGACCATTGCATTGAAGCAATGACTGCATGCTAGCAGCAGAGACCAGGCCCAGATGGGTGCATCGGGCTGAATGAAAAAGAGTAAAGGGAAGGGGTAAGAAGGGAAATGCCCAGCTTCCCCAGGACTCTCAGCCTTGTTTCACAGGGCAGCATGGCACCTCTGGCCAGCTCCACATTCACCGGTTTCCTGCTCTGCAGTCTGTTGTACATCTGGGCAGGCTGCTGGGAAGCAGCAAAAGCCTTTCCTTACCAGCCTCCGCTGGGGTTTGATCAGGGGCCGGTTGATGCCGTTCATCTTGTGGTAGAGCCCGCACGCGTTGCAGAGGTAGTGGCCCGTGCCGTCTCTCCTCCAGAGTGGGGTGGACATGGCTCCGCAGTTAACGCATTCGCGGCCCTCAGAGTAATCATCGAAAAACTCTGCTGCC